TCAAACAGAATAAAGACTGGCATAGCAAACTTCCTTGGATGCGGCGCATTCAAGATCGCGTCGGTGAATGGTGAATCCACCGTCCGAGCTGCGGATCGGAGAGCTTCATTCTCTCTCTGGAGTCCAGCGGTAGCTCTGTGAGTTACGGTTCTGCCCTCCGAACCGTGATGAGTGACAGTAACCATGGAGGGTCGGTAAGACGGATCGAACGACCGTTCCTCTATGAACTCTCTTTGCCAAGGCGACGCTACTCGACGGCGATCAACCTCCACCACTTCCTCTCGGTCAAACCTTTCCCGCTGCGGATCAACGTGAGTCGATCCTTCGTGATCTTCAACTCGACGAACATTTGGCGGCAAATTGTCCATCATCCTTTCATCACGGTGGTGAGCTGACTGATTGTTCTCGTCCTGATCGCCTTGATGCGCGATATTAGATGGAACACCTCCTTCTCCGACCGGAAGTGGATGCGAAACCGCAGGTATCTGCCGATGCTGCAGTCCAGCTTTCAATTCTGCATTTTCTTTTCTGAGAGCTTCAATCAAGTTCATCAACTCTTCAAGCTTTGTTTGCTGGACAGCCTCCATCGGATTGGAGCTTTCACCTATCATTATTCCCGAACGGAGTAAAGGCATTAATCTCAAGTTCGCGAGTAGATCTGAGCTTCGTGAGTAGGAATTTCTAGATCTGGCTTCTAATTCTCCGAATTATGCTCACTGTTTACGAGATCTGAATTGTCTGAACTCTAAATCCGTCAGATCCTGCCACAATCGAACAACTCGTGGTTGCGTAGATCCGAAGTCTCTCCTGCCAAAGCTTCAAGAATTGTAATTCCTCCAGAGTAGGTCACAATCGCTCAGATCTGGATTCAAATCCCCAAGATCGAGTCTCGATCAACCGAATTGGTTTGAATCCATTCGATACTCCTCATTGATCAACCAAACTTTTATGCGATTCCCACAGACGGCGCCAATTGAAGATGCAAGAAACTCCTACTATTCTTTCTCTCTCTAGAATTCTTACACCTCAACCCGAAAAAGATCCCTCTCCTCTTCATTCCAACTCCTATTTATAGATACTTACAAGATATTTACAAGATATTTGCAAGATATTTTCTGATTGCTGGACCTGGGCCTATTCCTCTGTAAGCCCTAGTCACCCTTGATGGGCTTACTCCCGCTCGGCCCATATGGCAGTGTCTTTCTATGGGCTGACCCAGCTGTTCGGACTGAAGGTTGTGTTTTGCAAGTCGGACCTGGCCCATGTCATCCGGGGCCTCCTCAGGGTTTTTAGAGACTAGAAACCATGCTAGGAGTTTCAATAAATTATTTTTAGTTTATTAAAATAATGTTTTTTAATTATTAAAGAGGTTAGTTATTTATTTATTAGCCTATGTAATTAAAATATAGCTGAAAATAATTAAATAAGGCTTTAGGGATTTTTCTAGAATTTTCTAGATTTTTCCGGGGCTATTAGTAGAGTCTGATTGATCCGGTGCATCGCGGTCCATGTTACCGCGGTACACCCGGATCCGTGAGCGTTGGATGGAGGGAAGGTAGGTGGATCAATCCAGTGTGCGCGCCCACATAGAAACGGTACAACCGACCAACCAGCACACGCCGCGTCATCAGGAACCATTAGTGCGCACGTAGCAGCGCGTGCGCGCACGTGGCTGATGCCAGACGCGCGTGGAGGCGCGTGGGAGGTTCTAGACGCGAGTGAAGGCGCGTGTAAGCGCGTGCGCGTGTGAGAAAAGTGGCAGCGCGTGTGGGAAGTTCTGGGAGGCGCGTGAGGGCGCGTGGGGGGTCTCTACAGCTGCTGGAAATTACCAGAATACCCCTAGGGCCTGTTTTGTAAATTTCAGAACCTTAAACTTGGTTTTTTAGGTACTGTGTTGGTATTTACGGGTTTAACGGGCCACGAAATTATTATTTTAACACCCGTTACTTATTCTTATGACCGATTAATCTTTTCTAAGCATTTATTGGCTCGTTCACAGTACGGATACTAATGTGATTTGTTTAACGACATTGTTAAATATAAATAGTGTTATTATCATATTAAATGGTATCAAACATTACTGTTAAATTAAATAAGGCCATGGTTTTAGTCAGATAAATTATCCATGATATCTTATGGGATGTTTATACTGTTAATTGATATATAAACCATGATTATTATGCTGTGTGCATTTCAGGAAATAAATGGACTGTTTAATTATGTCGCATTTATATTATATGGATGTGTTGCCATATAGAACCATATGAGCTGGCTAATAAGTTTAGACTCATTTATACCTTATGCATTCGTTGCGATAGACAGATGTGTGGCTGTCGGGGTATGTGGTTTAATATTATTGGCATGTGTTGCCTAATTAACATACTCAGTATATTTATTAATATTGCTGGCATGTGTTGCCTAACTTATATGCTCAGTATATTCATCAGTACTTTGCGAGGTGTTATCACTGTGTAGTTCGTTATAGTCTGTGTTGTCAGTACCGTGCACCATGTATAATAGCTGATTTCCCGGGTGGGGAAAGGCGACACTTAACCACCTAGTGTGAGTCTAAGTGATCACCGTCTATTCTGGTTGAGGTCATATTATACATGGGATAGTTCCCTTAGGATGTATACAGATATAGTACTCAACCGATTCATAATGATTAATTTATTTGATTCTCTGATTTGGGTCATAGTAGAGAGGACTTGCTCGTGGGGTTGACCCACCATTGTTGTTATTTCAGGATACGGTCAGTACCCGTTCCAAGGTTGAGGTTAGCAGTGTGGGACCACCATCCGAACTCATCTACTCTTACGATCCAGTTCAGGGTAGAAGTTTTACGTATTACTTCAGTTTCAGTTTTTATTTACTTTTGACGTCGAACTCTCAGGTTTATATTTAGGGATCCTTGACATAGGATTTCCAAGTTGTAATGGAGGACTGTATTTAAATAAAGGATGGATGGATGTTGTATTATTTAATGTTTCTTTCCTGTCTAAATTCTTTTATTTCCATCATTTTGTATTCCATGCTTGTATATTGCCAATTGTTTTTGATATCCCTCGTTTTTCGTGTATAAGTCTGATCAACTTATGCGTGGAAAATGTGGGGGTGTTACAGGGGGCGCCATACATAGCTTCTTTGGTACCAAATTTCTGGGCCAGTTTTTAAATGACTATGTGATGCAGCCATATTGTATGCTCTATTATATTTTTTCTAAGCTTAAAATCAAAATAATTCACTATATGCAAAATAAGTTGTTGGTTTGTTTATTATGATTCCCAAAGTAGAAGAGTCATTCAAATGAGTTTGGGTAGGTCTATCATTTTATATAAATAATATCAAATGGTTGGTTATGATATCCGTATCAGATTAGGTATTAGATTACTAATGCATTGTCATATTAGTTTTTTTTTTTTGGAGTTGATATTCAATGATTTTATATAAGTAAATATCAAAGGGTATCCATTTCAAATAAGATATTAAATTAGTAATGCATTGTCAAATTAGTTTTTGGAGTTGAAATTATACTTGGGGGAAGCTTCCACAAATATATTCTTGTTGAAATCTCATCATTATCTTTATCTCTCCGGCTAAGAGCGGAGCCAGAAATATAAGTTGGGGCGACCAAAATTCCTTCTTTTTTTTTTCCCCTAGTGGTGCATTGAAATAAAATTCAATTTTAAAGATAAGATAAAATAATTGTGAAACAATTTTTAAGAGCATGTCTATAAAACAAGAAGAAAAAATGGAGAGAGTAACTTTTGATAGTAAATTTTTTTTATTTATCATTAATTCATAAAAAACAATAAATGTATGTGCCTATGTGTACGCAAGTAGTACTAATGTGTTGCATCAAGAATATGATCAATAGAGTACTAATATATTGTATCGGGATCACAATAATAATTAACACTGTTTATTTTTATTGGTAAATCAATGGCCAAGCACCTCAACATATGTTCTGCAATAATTCGACTGACTCACATGAGCACCTATTTTTCAATTGGACCTTCATATCCCCTCTTTGGCCATTTATCAGGTACAAATGCAACATCTATACTGTAATTAAAAATTGGGATGTTTTGGTATTGTGGATCAGCAACCATTGGAAAGCAAATACTTCTTCTAATCTACACAAGAATTTGTGCTTATCTTCGCTGGGGTTTCTTAAAGATTGCTCTTCGTCAAATCAATTCTCATGGAATGAAATGTCTTCCCGTCTAGTTGCAGACCGCCGCCGCGTCCACCGGACTGAGTTATGGCGGCATAGCTGCTTGAATTGATGTTCCTCATTTAACGGCCAAACGTGTCATTATTGGTCTTGCATCTGTGTGGGCTTGTCCATGGGTTAGTTGGGCTTGTCCTTAGGTTGGGCCTTGCCCTAGTGACCTACAGCCTTGTACTTTTTCATTTCCGCGCCTAAAAAGGCATTCCATCCATTGTATATTTTCTTATTATCTATGGAAATTGCTCAAATTTTTTTTTTTAAAAAAAATCCTACACCACAAATACAGAGAAAGAAAGAATAAATTATCCAAACATACTTACACTGGTCCTATTGTCTTGTAGTACTCAACTGCCCACTTGTTAAGATAGTATTGTGGCTGAATGTCTACCAAAAATTCATGATACTCAAAAAAGATACTATAAAGAAGGATGCTCCCCGCAATAGCCCACAAATCACTATCCACAAATAATGGTGCCAAGAGAGTACAGCCTACACCCCCAACATTGACAGAGACACCTGATAAGGAGATGATGCTAGCTTCAGAGTCCAACATTTCAAGCTTGAAACTCTTCAACCTTATGATCAAAAATATAAAAAAAAAAAAAACAGAGTGTCTACTACAGTTGTGAAACCACTTGTCATTGTCTTCATCACTTGGGAAGCTACTTTTAGGACTAAGTTAAGGATATCTCCTGTCTTCTGGTAGAGCCAATTCGGGAACATCCTACCCACTTTGACACTCGGATCGGATTCGGCAAAGGTACACCACTCTTGAAAATTTGTGATTAATCAATATAGTCTTATAGATATTAATACTCTTCATAAGTTACCCGCTTCTATCATGTCCAATAGGGATGTCAAGTACAAAAGTCATTTTTGAAAAACACTTTTGGACATATGCAGGCACCAATTTTAAATTTTCCTTTGCATTTTATGCTCAAACTGGTAAGAAAATTCCGATTGTAAACCAAGGTCTAGGAAAGTTGGTTAGTTATTTTGTAATAGAGCCCCTTGACACTTGGGACTTCTTGTTATCTATCAAGGAGTTTGCGTATAACAGTTTGGTCAATTGATCTGCTGGAACTCGTTCCTTAGGGATTCACAAACCCGTTTGACTTCATTTTGTTGCCTCTACATTCTTGTTCATTAAAATTTCAGATTCCTTTGTCCAGCTTGTCAATGAATTTCATGCTAATATGCGACAACAAATTGTTTTGAGTAACAAAATTATGAATTTATTGCATATGCTCATATTAAGAATCATAAATTTATTAGAGGTTACATTTTAATTTGTATGCAAGGTGAAATTAGGGACTTGATGTAACTAGATTTTATTTTTTGTTGGTTTTGTTATTTTTGGCAATGTTCTATTTTTAGGGATATTTTAGTATTTTAATATTTTAAGATTTGTTTAAATTTGCTCATATGTAATCTAACAATTCAACTTTAGATTATTTAATAATATTGTGAGTTTGCAAACTCTCTTCCTCTGTTTTCTCACTCTTGGTTCTTGCTTTTTTCGATCCCTCAGTCTCTAATCTTCCTCATTCAATTTACTTCTCATCCCTTCGTCTGTCCTCTCACCTCCTTTTACTATGACAATATGTGCATAAATTACTTTATTGATTCTGATATGTAAATAAATTACTTGCACACTGCAATTTAAATATATGAACCTATTAAAAATTTCTTTTCTATTCCCAAATCTTTTGGCAATCACATGGAGTGCAAAAATAAGATTTACAGATAGGTGCTATCAGACAACAACTTTGAGGATATGTCACTTCGACCCTATAAAATAAATAAAGCTGGCATTAGTATAACATGGGTGGTACTTAATCCCAGGGTGGACAAACTCACCTCGTTGAGATAAAGCTACAATTTTTTATTGAATATAGAAAGATCTGTTACGATTAAGTGAAGATACTGAGAATAGAAAAAAGAAAAAGAGATAAAAAAAAAAAAAGAATCAAATTTAATGAAAAAAAAATAAGGCAAAACCACCTTAGGACATGACTCATGAGGGCAATTAAATAATTGACCCCATTATCAAATAAAGACCCACCTTGGGATTAAGGCAGATTGTCACAAAGTGAACATCATTCAGTTTCAACTCACAGCTCTAGTTTTTCAACAGAAATGGAAGAGACCAGCAACAGTTCAACAGGAAAAAGGTATCTTCAACTCATGACTCTCATTTTATAATTATATATATGTATGCATAATCTCTAGTGGATCACTGTTATTCCAGGTTAGCTGTGGTTACAGGAGGCAACAAAGGCATTGGACTCGAGATATGTCGCCAGCTAGCATCTAATGGAATTGCAGTAATATTAACAGCCAGAGATGAGAAGAAGGGTATCGAAGCGATTGACAATCTCAAAGTTTCTGGCCTCTCAGATGTGTTTTTTCATCAACTTGACGTAAAAGATCCTGCCAGTATTGCTTCATTTGCAAAATATGTACAAACACGTTTCAAAAAACTTGACATCCTGGTGAGATTCAAGATATGCCTTATGAATTAACGACTTGGATATTGCTATTATATTAAGAAAATAAATTTATATCAATATACATAGACAATGGCTTAGCATGATGTCTTCCGTTTATTCAATTTGATAGCATACAAAGAAATGAAAAAGAGATGGATAACAGCACTTTCTCATGTGTTGAGGAATATCAGGTTATCAAGATAAATTGCTAATGGCTATTCTGTGGAATAAACTTCTTTACAGGTCAATAATGCAGGAATTGGTGATTCTGTTGTAGATCGTGAAGCACTTAGAGGCTTCAAAGAAGAATGGGGGATCGTAAGTATTAAATCTCTTCCCTTTTAGATTTTTTATCAAATAATTTCTATTAAATGATTTAATTTAATTCTCTTCCGGTAATTATTAACATAGAAAGAATATTTAACACACAGGTTGTTTTTAGGTTCAGTAAATCCAGGAAATGTTTAAACTCTAACTACATTAGTCTAAATTGGATTTGTAAATCCAGGAAATGTTTAAGCACTTAGAGGCTTCAAAGAAGAATGGCTTGTTTGACAATATAAATTGGATTTGTAAATTCTATGAACATGTTGATGCTCAAGAACTAACCACAATGCTCTGGAAATACCATCAAAGCATCCTCTTATTTTCCATTAAAGCACACTTATCCGAAGAAGAAAAAAAAAAAATCCATTAAAGCACAATTTTGGCACTTCTTATATTGCATTCAAAACTGTTGGTGTTGACGGGAACCAGAACTTACAAAAACAAGAATCTAGTGTTAACAAATACTTGTCTTCTATTTCAAACATAATATTAATTTTAGAATTAACAATGAACAGTGCATTTATTAACATCAAAATCTCCAATTTTAAAGTTTAACAACAAAAAAATTGCCCATATTGTGTTTGTTTTTATATTAAAGTTAAACTATCCAAATTTGAGAGAGCAAACAATCTGGCTTGTAGAGAATGAGAATGAAGGATGAAGCCCCACCGAATTAATCTTTATCTTTTGGGTTAAAATTGTTAAAGGTTTTCATTCACAAATCAAGCAAGAACGAACTTTACACAAATGATTTCGAGTGAGTGAGGGAAAAAATTAAAGAAAAGAGCCTAGGAAAATGAAGTATCACCTAAAATTTTGTGGGACAAATCGACATAGGGTTGAGAATTACAGATCTGGACGGTTTGAGTATTTTTTGGGAGAGAGAGAGTCAGAGGTGGGTTGCAGTTGTCAAAAGGTGAGGAGTCCATGATTGAAATTAGAGTTTTGAGAGAGAAGAAGACAACCATATTGAAGCATGATTTCGCAAGGAGTGCAAGATGGACATCAAATTTCACCTAGGGACTGAGATGATATTCAGAGGTGATCTTGAGCATGAGGTTTCTCAGTTTTTTCTGTTGCCCTAGGGCTTCGGAAGAAGAACATCGTGTCCGCTTCCCATGTATTTAGAAGTACCAACTTCTCCAAAACACTCTTCTAAGATCCAAAAGTTCTTTTAAAAAATTAGTCAAACACTACTAAAAATAGCTTTTAAATCCAAAAAGCCAAAAACAGCATTTCAAAAGCCAATCCAAACAGGCCCTATATACAACATCTACTGACTCGGATGGTCATGGAATTATATGATTCGTTTTTAGAATATCGGAAAGAAAAACCTTTACACAAATGTCAAATTTTCAAATAGAGAGCCTCCAGGGACAATCTTCAACAACATTGGAAATAATAACACTAGGTTGAAAACCCAAACATGATTATCAATTGATTAATCTGCATGACTAGGTCTATAGAGGATTACATGTACGCAACCGCAGGCAGAGAGAGTCTAGGTCTATAGAGGATTACATGTACGCAACCGCAGGCAAAGAAACTAAACATGATTATCAACTAACAAAATTATCATCTTTAAAGTAGATATGATTTTCCTCCTGGGAGACAGTTATGGAGATAAAATGATCCTTTTCAGACTTAGATTGATTTCTTGCAACATTTTGTCTGGCACAAAATATTTTGGCAAACACATGGAGTGCAAAAATAAGATTTACATAAAGGTGCCCTCATCCAACGTCATTGAGGATGTCACTTCAACCCATTAAAATAAATAACAAAAGATCTGTTATGATTAAATCAAGATACTGGAAAAGAAAAAGAAAAAGAAAAAGAACAAAAGATCAAAAAGTCATCAAATCAGAGAAAAGGCCAAACCACCTTAGGACTGTAGGACATGAGGCATTCGCAATCCAGCTATTATCCATTTAAGATAAAAGGCACAAACTCACCTCATGAAGGCAGATTCTCACAAAGTGAATTCAATATCATCTCGCAATAACAATTAATTATCAACTATGCTCTAGGTTTTTTATATCAGAAATGAAAGAGACCACCAGCAGTTCAACAGCAAAAAGGTATCTTCATCTCATGACACTTATTTTATGCCATATGTAAACACATATTATTCACACACCAATTTCCAGGTGTGCTGTGGTTACAGGAGCCAACAAAGGAATTGGACTAGAGATATGCAGACAACTAGCATCTAATGGAATTACAGTAATATTAACTGCCAGAGATGAGAAGAAGGGTATTGAAGCTGTTGACAATCTTAAACTTTCTGGACACACAGATGTGTTTTTTCATCAACTTGATGTAAAAGATTCTGCCAGTATTGCTTCATTAGCAAAATATCTACAAACCCATTTCACAAAACTTGATATCCTGGTGAGAAACAAGATATTCCTTATGAATTAAGTGACTTGGCTATTGCTATTATATCAAGAAATTTGTACAAATCTACACACAACAGCTTAGTATTATGTATTCAATTTGATGGCATATAGACTGATGGACAGATGAAGAGGAGGTTAAAATACAGGACTGTATGATGTGTATAAGAATATTTGGTTACCAAATTTATTGTTAATGAGTATTCTGTGCAAAATTAACTTCTATGCAGGTCAATAATGCAGGAATTGGTGGAGTTATTGTAACAGATTATGAAGCATTAAGAGTCTTCATAGAAGGAGGGGGTATAGTAAGTATTGCAGCTTCCTGTTGTCGATATTTGTTCTATATCTATGCTATTTATGGACGGCTGTTTAACTCTAATCTTGTGTTTAAGGAACAAATAAATTAAGGGACATTTTAAGTAAATTACACTACATTGATCTTCTTAGCACAAGAGGATTGAATTCATGAATATATATAAATAAAAAAATTCCAGAATGATACAGACGCCAATATTCATAAATTAGGCAACGCATTGTTCATCTTATAATAAGACAGAAAGACAAAACTTTTTCATAAATTAGGCAACGCATTGTTAATCTTGTAATAAGACAGAAAGACAAAACTTTTTCATGGTTTATACAAAATAACTGTCCTTGGACAGGAATCATAATTATTGTCCTCAGCGATATTACACCAAACAGTCTAACAACAATTATCTAGCAGAAAAAGTTCTCATTTTACAGAGATTTTGTTCCAGCAAAATAATTGGAACCTTGAAATACATAAGCCACAAAGAAAAAACTCATATATTGTTTTGGATCTCAATGCAATTCAATTTGAATCTAGCCGTTCAAAAAATTTAAGCTTTGAAATTCTAAGTTCATCAAATATGAAAATTCTAAAAATCACTCATGAATTGGCTAGCAGGACTGAGAATTTCTAATATATGCAGGTGAGCAATGAGAATGCCCACCTATTGGAGAAATTCATGAAGCAAACTTATGAGAGGGCAGAAGAGTGTATCAAAACAAATTATTGTGGAACCAAAGAAGTAACCGAAGCAATTCTTCCTCTCCTGCAACTCTCCAATTCAGCAAGAATAGTGAACGTCTCTTCCCTTGTTGGACAACTCAGAGTAACTAAACACACTTTCATGCTAGATCAGAATTTCAGGTGAAGGAACAGAAAAAGACTATAAATTCTAATTCTCTCTCTCTCTCTCTCTCTCTTTTTGGTTTCAGTTTATCTCCAACGAGAAGGTCAAAGAAGATCTGCAAAATGTCGACAGCTTAACAGAAGATAAAATAGACAAGATTTTGCAGTGGTTTCTACAGGATTTCAAGGAGAATAAGTTGCAGGCTAATGGGTGGCCTCTTATAGCACCCGCTTATAGACTTTCAAAAGCTGCCATAAATGCCTATACGAGGCTTGTAGCAAGGAAATTCCCTGATTTCCGTGTAAATTGTGTTCATCCTGGATATGTCAAAACAGATATGACAGGTAACATGGGAAACTTGACTCCCGATGAAGGTGCTAGAGGTCCTGTAATGCTGGCTTTGTTGGCTGATAACAGTCCTTCTGGCTTCTACTATGATCAGATGCATGCATCCACCTTCTGATGTAAAAATAGCATGCAAGTATCCGAGTTAGAGTAACCTTTGGTGAATGATATTGTCTTGTTATGCTTCTTATTGCTATTTGAATAGGATATGCAACTTTCTTTTCAATTCCGAGTTAATTAATTTCTACATTTGTCTCTACTATGTGTTACAGAAGCACAAAACAATATTATATCCAGTACTTAGTGACTTGGATTGTCAGAGAAACTACATGATTCTTTTCCACAATTTCGGAGAGAGAAACCTTTACACAAATGTCAATTCTTCAGTTAGAGAGCCTTCAATGACAAACTTTCGCCAGCACTTAAAATAATAACACTATTTTGAGAAACTAAACATGATTATCAACTAACAGAATTGTCACCCCTAAAGTACAAGATTTGATTTAATTCTTGGGAGAGATTTATGGAGATAGAATGATCCTATTCAGACTTTAGAACGATTTCTTGCAGCATTTTGTCTGACACAACATCCTATGAAGTAGATTACTGACTGACGCTGTGCACCAGATGAAAGTCAGGCCCAAGGATATATAAAAGTAAAATCCCAAGAATATCAGAATTTAGAATTCTGTAGAAGAGAGAGACTTACCAAGACAATGAACCAAACCACGTTACAGATTGCAACCATCCTCCATTCAGTTTTCATGTATTGTGCAACTCCAGCCCTGAAAATATGATACTAAAGAAGAAAATGGAAATGATATTTTGAGTAAAAGAGAGGTCATGGAGTAGAAAACTGGAAAATGACGTTTACTTGCAACAAAAACAATCATAGCACTTGGCGTGCTTGAAATTTTCATAGAGTTTGCAGTCATTGTTGGAACTCGTTGGATGAAAGCTCAAGTCATAGTTCGAGGCATTGACAGCAGGATAACCACACCTAAGAAATGAGTTGAAATCCAGAAAACAAGAAAAGAGAGTTACATGCAATTTTCGTAACTTTGATTTTGTCTATAACTAGATGTATATTCATTACTTTAATGACTCTGATGTGTATATTACTCAACACTGCTTTTTATATATATGTGAACCCATTGAACTTCAATGAATGATAGTATTCATAATAGTTAATAGACAGGATTTTGCTATTGAATACAAAGAAAGAAAATATCCTTCATTCAAACATAAAAAAACAGAGGGAGAAGAGAAAAGGCACCTACTCAGATGGTGTTTGACCGCAAACAGCCTCAATGGGGGTTAGTTTTGCCAAATTGAATTGCTAAGAGTCTCCAACAAAGAGGTCACAAGAAACATATTAGAAAGTATAACTTAATGGTAGATAAATTCATCTTATATTTTTTAGAAAGTTTATTGCAATTATCAGATTTTACAACATAAACTTTTCAACTGCTTCCAGCTATTGTTATTATTCAACTGGAACAATAAAGCAAGATTAAGAATAACAAATTTGATACTCTCAAGCTTAATATTTTAGACGCTTGATTAATTTATAGAATATTTTTACCTGTTTTAGAAACCATGAATTGTAATCTAGAAGTTGATATTCCTAGTACCTAACCAGACACAGATTAATGGCTGCTGTTGAGCCAATCCCCGCTCAACCACCAAGAAAAAGATGCTTAGGCTATGTTCCGTGGCATGGAATTGGAGGCTTCAATTCCATGCAGCCGAACATAAGAAAAAGTAAAATGATTTCAAATATAATCTATACATCAATGAGCTCAATTTTTTCTTACATCATGAAGATTCCAAATGTGTGATGTGTGTTGAGGAACCAAGCAACTTATGCACACATCAGTGTTCTTACACCAAAGAAAATGAGGGACATAATGATGTTATCAGAGAAATCATGCCATCGTACCTCAAAGCAGCTACATTATGACCAGATCCATTATTGCTGCAATAAACCTAAAAAGAAAAAGAAATATATATATTATAAAATTTATTCATAAAGCATATGCTACAAGCAAGATAAAATACACAGATACCTCCAGCAATTTTTATGGAATACTCCATTGGCCATGCGTCCATTTACCAATTACCACCAATTGCATAACAAAAGGAGCGGAACTACAAAGATAACTTAATGATGGTCAAGAAACACTATTGTAGTTCAAAATCGAAAATGCAAACGGTAATGCATTGGGGGTGTTTCAATTGATCTTTGTTGAAATTGACGTGTGCAGAATACTAATTGTTATAACAAAATAACAAACGAGTTTTTTTGAGTTTCAACATACTGTTTTCAGAGGCTCAATTCACACTCAAATTACTAGAAAGAAAAAAATTATCAATTAGGACAATATTAGAGACCTTCCTGAAGCAATAGCTAACATCAGAAACCAAAGGCCTGTGGCCTAGTGGTGGAGAACGACCGTTTCAACCAATTTCATACCAAGGCAAAACCAGTAGAATATGTACAATCAGTTTTAATTATTGCCTCTGAGGCCAACACCACCATATACAAAAATATCTGTAAGAACTGCCAATTCTCATCTACCGCCACCAGCTCTGCCATCATCCCCTTCTTCTCAATCCGGTATCTCTATCCCCACCCCCCCCCCCCCCCCCCACCCCCTCGTTTGCCGAACTCTGCTCCACTTTCTCTCTCTAGAATGGGTCCGGCAAGCGGAACTGTTTTCCTTGGTGGCGATACCGATTTCTTGCAGGAAGAGGAATCTAACACAACCAAAACACCAGTGCAGCGAAAGAAGATTGGATGGAAAGGGGTAAAGCGATCGTCCAATTTACATCTTTAGGGTTAGTAGTGCAGAGCAGTTATTTTGGCTTTATGTTGATGACATCAGCCAAAATATAAACAAGATAAAACAACTCCCATTTTTTTTTTTTTTTTTTTTTTGTTGGGACTCACACACACTGTCTCCACTGATATTTGAACCCCTGACCTTTTTTTGGAAAGTAAGACCGCTAGGCCACAGGCTTGTTAGTCTCCTATGTCCCTTAATTTAAGGGTGGCAAAATTTGACACGATCCGTCAACACGATAAGAGTTAAGCAAATTTGAGTTGACTTTAAACAAGTTCGAATCACAAATTTGTCGACACAATTAACCCGTTTACTTAATCGTGTCGCATTTAGATTGAGGGATTCAACCTGTATAACCCGTTTAACTATATCTATCACAAACAAATTTCTATTTAAGTTCTAAAATAACTATCTAAATTTACGTCTTATAATTTATTCTTTTGTAAATTAGAGATTATTTTGTAAATTGGTTGGATTAAAATTTATATTTTTATAATAATTATTGTTTGATTTAGTGATATTAATAATTTAAATAATATAATGTTTTGTTTTAGTAAATATGTTTATTAAACGGGTTACAATACTTATTGTTTGATTTAATATTATTAATAATTTAAATAATATAATGTTTTGTTTTAGTAAATATATCATTAAATAAGTTACCCGTGTAACCCGTTTAATAAACAAGTCGGGTTAGTGTTGAAAGTTCTTGACACGATTATTAAATGGGTTGTGTTTGGGTTAAGCAATCTAATACCCTTAGGTTGACACGACGCGATTATGACCTGCGAATACGAATTGTCACCCCTACCGAGAGGTCATATGTAATGACCCGGTCATTTTCTTTCCTTTCCTTTTTCCTCAAATTTTACGAATAATTTTTTTTCGTTGTCTTTTCTATTATGTGTTTAGTTTCTCGTCACTTAGTGTCGTCTTGAATGCTAAGAAATGGTTTCTGAGACTCTTTCCTTTGGATTGACAACTTTCTTTAAGGACTGAGTCATTTCCGCATTTTTCGTTTTTCGACACTATTCACTTTTCGTCCTTTTCCCTATTTTGTCTTTTCCCCATTTGTCAATTTGTTGACATAACCTCACTTTCTGTGTTCGGAGTTGGTTTTTGACTGCACGTATCTTCATTCTAAATGGTTTCCACAAAATATGTATCTTTGTTTTTGGAGTAAAGTACTTTGGTTGCTCCCGATGTCCATAAGGGCATGAATGCATAGTTTTTCAAAATCTTTTCTTTTCTTAGAGTGTTTTTCATAAATATCTTTTGAAGATATTTTATTTCAAGTGTTTTTAAGAAAATATTTTTTGAAGATATTTTCATTCTGGGTCATTAGTATAGTTTTCACTTTTTGGAGGGGCCGTTGTGCAATTAATGAAAGTTATTACAAAAATGCCTCGTTTTGAGCCTGGATCCTCATACGGGATTCATTTTCACTTTTCGTCGAGTCATGTACTCTTAGAATTGCCTTCTGGTCGTTTTCCCCCAGTTTCAGGGTTTCTGACCCTAGTTGCCGCCGAACTTGTTTGGGACATAACTCTCTGCTCGGAACTCAATTTTTGACGCTGTTTCTTCCGTTGTATATATTTTCTCATTTCGATTCTTTTTCGTTCACAGAGTTTTGCCGTTTAAGTGCGTCTGTGCGAATTCCATTTTTTCGGACTCGGTGGGACCCTTTCGAGGCACTTTTAGGGTTTTACTATAAATAGAATGTCTTAAAGTGAAAAATCACTTTTTCACTTTCTTTCTCCCTCTCTTGGCCGGATTCCATGGCAGCCAAGGGGCTGCCACCTTCTTTCTCTTCTTTTGAGCTTCTTTCCTTTGTTAAAAAGTCGAAATGCCTTTGTGTTTTATGTTTGTCTTGATTACGAGCATCTTTCCCCCTTATTAGAATCCGTTTTTAGCTATTTTTTGAGTTCAAGTTTGAGGTCAAGTTATGATTTTGGTATGTCTTCTTTGGAGTTTATTGTTCACCGTGTTGTCCCCGACAAAACTCTGAAATTTCGTCGGATTCGTAGCGGTTTCATTTTGGTGGCTTTTGAGATTTTTATCTCAAATTGAGATAGGGGATGTTATAGGTTATTATTTTTGTTATCTTGCATGCTATTGATACTTATACAACTTGTATGCATGCTTTTGTTCATAATCTATAATTTAATTTAATTATTTTATATGTTTAAGATTTAATTCTCATGATAATATTCAACTTAGAATTAAATTGTGGCATGCTAGTAAATTAGGTTTTGGTATGTTTGTTAATATATATTAAATTGGGATTATTTGAATAAAGATTGCAACTTTTATTTAATAATTTTCTTTTATTAAAGTTTAATTATTATGGTCGTACCTTGCATGGAATTAACTTGTGATATGCTATTAAATTAAGTCTTGGCATGCTCTTTAACATACTTTAATTTTGGAGCATTTGGATGAGTATGAAAATTTAAAGATTTTTATTAAAAGGATTAATTAAAATCTATTTAAAGGTTTTATTGGTTTAATTAAGTTTTTAACTTGATATTGGTGATGACTAGGACATGTATACTACCATATATTAATTTGGGACCATTTGAAGTTACTTTAGAAGTTAGAGATTTAATTATCATGATTTAATTAAATTCTACTTTGTTGTTCCATTTCCCTAATTAAGATTTTGAATGGATGTATGTAATCATCATGCAATGTTATTTAACATGTGTTAATTAGGGGTCATTTGATTGAGATTTGAAATTTAGAAAAATTAATTAGTTTATTTAATTAATTTCCGTTTCTATAGCGTTAATGATTTAAACATGTGTTTGACATTAGTTATATGTTTAAATCATGATTTTGGACTTATATTAAATTCATGAGTTTATATTTTCAATGTTGAAATATATTATTATACCATGTAACGAATCGCACACTAAAGATTCAACATTTGTCATGCCATAGTAGTTGTGGACTTAGTGCATGTATTATATGTGTTTCCAAATTTGGTTGTACTTGATAGATAGTTGATTATCTTATATATTCTTGTTGATATATACACTATTGCACAACTTGTTGATTTTGAAAACTTGGGGATGTCGTTGTTTGACTACGGCTAGGACATGGTACTAGTACGGGGGATTGTCCCCCTATAGTCTAGTGCGCACATAGGGAGGTTACTCATGGGCTAGTAACCCTAAAGTAATTATGGTGTCGGTTTAATCCGGCATGATGTTCAAGTATCCACTTTGTTTGATTTCGCATTTCATTTCAAGTTGATAACTAGATGATATCGTAACTTGTTGTTCCTTAATTGATTTCCCATTTTGAGTTTCAAGATGTTAACTTAGAGAAATCATGCTTTATACGTTGTATTGGAAGTTCCAATGTTAGTTAAATTGCATCGATATTGTGATCTGTGTTTTGATGTTGAATGTAGCTTAGGAACGATCCTATAGATTCATTTAGAACATAGACGTTAGGTGACATGATCAACTTTAGTTGTTTTCGTATTTTAGATTTCAAGTTGAGGATTTTGAGAATCTATATCTTGTTGCTTTGTATAACATGTTTTTATGTTGTTTAAATTGCATTAATGATGTGATTTATGTTAGAAATGATCCAAGGTAGCTTAAGATGCTCCCTGAGTCTCATCTTGACATAGACGTTAGGTGGCATGAGCCCCTTTGACTTGTTTCACCTTAAGATGATAATTTTGTAAAATGCTAGGTCGATGCATGCTCATTTCATACAAGTAGCTTTATGTTACTCACCCCGAAGTTACTGGGGATTTGTTTCAGGTACGAAGGCTTGGTTCATGATACTCATCATTCCTTGGATGACTTGGAGCTTTTAAGTTTCCATTTCATGCAAATGTTAGCATGAAATGTCATTTTGTAGCCTTATATGTCTAAACTTGTATCTTTGATTCCATATATGTAATGTGTACATAAGTACACCTTTTATGATATATTTGACTTGTGTGAGATGAGGCCGGAGGCCAATGATATTTATATTGCATCTTACGTAATTCTTGATTTCATGAAATGTTATGAAAATATTGAAAATTCATAAGTCATTAATTTATTACTTTTGCATCGGGTGTGGGAATTCGGTTTTTTATTCTTTCATAGGGTCTCATCAATCATGTATAAAGTGTGACCAAGGGTCAAACGGTAATTTGACTCCATTTCATATTTTTGGATTTCAAATATTCCATTTCAAGTCCATTTTTCTCATATTTGGCCGTCGGGGGGTCAAATTTTGAGTCGGGGTTCCTCGGGAGCCGCGGACCATTCCCGCGCGCTTAGAATCGTTTATTATATTTGTGTGCACATTCGTTTCAACCTAGAAATGTATTTAGGGTCAAATGCATACTTGGTGCAAAGTTGCATTTTTTGAGTTTTTAAGCCTTTTCTGATCTAGGGGCATTTTGGCCATTTTACAGTGTATTTTTTTCATTTTCTCTCACGAGTCCGGGTAGAAAATTTGATTTCGAGAGGAGTTTCTTCTTCATTTTTTCCAGAAAAATTCATTTAATAGCCTATTGTTGACCTTAAGGATTTCATCCAATGACAATCTAGGTGTTTTGATGATAACAAACCATTAATGGTGTTTAAGGACTAATGTTTACATTGAGTGTTATATAGATTATTCACATTCAAAGAATGACCTCAATGAAGCACCAAAGATCATTCAAAGTATTCCATTACTCAAGATCACATAAAGGAAAGAAATGGATACAATGAAGACATGAAGTTGCAAGGAACAAAATGCAATGTCCAAAGGTAGCTTGGACTTCAAT